GGGGGGGGGGGGAGAGAGCCCCCTCACAACACAGATTTCCAAGCGCCTCTGACGGGCCGCCACAGGCACAAGTCCTGCTGCCTTTTGGCCTTGCACCAAAGTTCACTTGTATTCGCCAATGTTCACAACTGACCCCACAGAGCCCTATACCCCGCCCACGGGGTCCCGCTCCTCACCCACATACAGCACCCGCTTGGTGGCCGCCATCTTCGCTCCCAGCAGCCCCCGCGCGACGCCCCCCCCGCGGGGCATTGGGCAGTGCCGCGCTCGGCCACGCCCCCGGGCCGCGCCGGGCCTCGGCGAGGGGTGCGTACGCGCTTTCGTCACACGCCAGGTTCGCTCCGCCTCCTGCCCGCGCGCGGTGCGTCTGTACACACGCACGTGTAGGAGGGGGAGGTGCGTGACGCGTACACTCGCCCTCTCTGTGCACGTGCGTTGTATAGCACCGGCCTTTGGGAGCTTCGGGTCGTCTATATATATACACACAACACACCCTAGCCACCCACTGCACACCCACACTATACACACGCACCACACCCTCACTACACGTACACTACACACACAATGAAGCTCACAAAAGCTTGTGCCAATGTACGTATACAGTATAGGTGTGTGTACACACGTACACACACACACACACACACACAGTAACAAGCTGTTATATATATGGTACATAGACAAACCAAAGGATGTGTGTGCACATGCACAGGTGGTATATTTAATATATACGCATACTCGTCTGAAGTTCACATCAGTTAGAAGTACTAGTCATACTAGTTAGAAGTATAGACTCATCCAATGCATGTACAGATGGTATGCATAATCACATAATCAATACACATGTAGCTGAAGCTCATAAACATTTGTGCTATAGTGTGTATGTCTATATATGTAGACACCCATCTCACATTGGGTGAGATGTATGTGCACACGCATCCTTTGGTTTGTCTATGTACCATATAACACAACAGCTTGTTAGTGTGTGTGTGTGTGGATACACACACCTATACTGTACTGTATATGTACATAGTTTGGCACAAGCTTCCATGAGCTTCTGTGTATATAGTGTATGCGGTGTTGTGTGTGTATAATGTATGTGTAGTGAGCGTGTGGTGTGTGCGCATAATGCAAATGTGTGGGTGTAGTGTGTGTATGCATATTCACAGCACGTTTGTGAGCTTCAGCTACATGCGTGTGTATAGATTATGTAATTACGTATACCATGTGAGCGCACACTGGGCGAGTCTATACTTCTAACTATAGAGTATAATGCGCATCTAGTAGGTAAGGATACACAACACACACCATAGTACAAACTTGTGAGCTTCAGCTGTGTGCGCTACACTCCCCTTCCTTCAGTCTATAAAGTATAAATCTAATCTATCCTGCCTTCTAACATGGTTATTGTACCTAATTACCCATTGCTGAAAGGATAATGCAATTCCCCTCCATCACCACAGTTCTCTCACCTGTAGGTTAAAAAAAAATCTCTGACTCCAAAATTATTCATTTTTTCATTGAGTCAATGTTTTGTGAGACCTGCAGCATAAGCTACTTGGTATGGCTAACTAGGAGCTTAGACAGCATCTAATGAAGTGAACTTCAGCCCATGAAAGTTTGTGCTCCATATTGCATCTAATTTAGCTGGTCTGGAAGGGGCATACATCTACCCTGCTTTCTGCCTTACTTCAGACCAATACAGCTAACTGCCTCTAACCAGGAGCCTGACAGTAGTTTCTCTGATGATCTTCTGCGTAAGGCAGCTGCACAGCAGTTTGCTGAGGCGTGGTTTGGATTAATCCCAAATTAAGCAAAGCAGCTAGGGTAAATTTATGAAGTACAGTTGTAAAGAAAAAAGATGCATTAGAAGTAGTTATCTCAAAGCAGCAGGTCCAAGGTACAAGCTAGATTTCTCTGGATCTCTACCACTAGATTGCTTAATTCTTTATCTAGGACACAGTATTGAAACTGAAACCTTCCTTTCTTGATTTTCAGCCTATCAACAGGAGACCCAAGACACTGCGCCTTGCTGTGCTGCTGTTCTGCAAGCTTGTTCTATTCTTGGGCTTGGACACAGACTGTTAAGTACCAGATTTCTAAATGGGTTTCTTGCATATTTAACACCATGGTTTGCTCATAACCGTGCAGCAGGCAGGCAAAATGGCACATCAGTGTTGCATTTATACCCCCAAAATCAAAAGAACCATTTGCACTTTTCTAGCACCACTCACCTAATGGTCTCAAATGGTCTGTAAACATGAATTAAACCGCTGCTCCCCTGAGCAGGCACCCTTATTTTACAGCGTTATCTAGTACATGCTCAGCATTTCAGTGGTTTTCCGTTAGTAAAATCTTCAAGTCACTGGACAGTCTCAATTCCTCCCTTCTTTCTTCATCTGGGCTGTGCTTGTGCTCTCCTGTACTCATGTTTATACCACACTCCATTCCAAAGGCTCACCCCAACAACATCACAAAGCACACACTAGTCCTACTGTCACTGAAAGGCAGCCATCTATCTCTAAGGTACAGCATACACTTACCAGCACAACACTACATTTGTGACTATTAAAAGGAAATGACAAGGTTCTAGGGAAATATAGGGGTTGAAATACCATAGAGAGATGAAGAAATACAAAAGCTTAACATCAACAGAAACAAAAAGGAACTGTCAGATTGAAAGGAAGAGAAGAAAAGAACACAAGACTTCTATGCACATTGATTTGGGTCAAGGGAGCACTGCTGATGGTCCATAAATACCTGTCTTCATGTATATTTCAGAGTACTGGGTACATCTTTAACTGTTAAATTGGTTAGTTACATTGGATTTCTTAATAAAGTATTAAAAAGTGTCAGTATCCAATTAAAAGTGTACCTCAGTTCCTCCTACACAGTATGTAGTCACGCAGAATAAAAAACTATCAAAATCACTTCATCTCGTAGACTGCTGTGGGATTTTTAAATGAAAAAAGTGAGCAAACCCTCTTTCTGTGCTTCATCTGAAAAATGTTGCCCAAGACCACCTCAGAGGGCAGGGGTCCACTTAAATAAACTCAGTTACAACCACCTTACAGTTTCTTTGAAGATCCAAAACAGGGCACAGCTTGAAGTCATAATTTGAAGTGGAGTTTGGCCTAGCCACTTGTTAACTTAAACAGAATAATAGGATTAAACGTTTAAAACCACGATTCAATCGGACAGTAATTACCTAACAGTTTACTTCTGACAAGCTGAATAAATCCAGGATAGTTAAGCACACCAGGGGGAAGAGACCCATTTAGTGAAAGTTTTTATTCCTTTATTGATAAACACTTTCCAGATTTTGCAAACTGGATTGTTCAGTTAAAACCAAAACCACAAAAAACTTTCAATCAGAAATCCTCGATGTCCTGCTTAGAAAAGACAAAGGTTAAACTCTGTCCTGGCCACAAAGGAAAAGCTTGCAAACTTAATCCTGGTCTTGGAAATCTAAAGCTTCATGGAATTGATTTTTTTTTAAATAAGATTTTAAAGGTTAATTTACAAAATGCAATATGGTTATTTGATATGCATGTTGCGGAGATCTGCAGGACAATTAAGAGTATCTTCAAACATCTTGAGCTGATGTCTATGAAGGGGCTATTTGGCTTCTTTGCATCCTGTGCAGGGAAAAAGGTTAGAAAATTAGTTTGCTCTTTTCCCTCCCCATACAGGCGTCTTGGTTTAGTGCAAACTAACAGTAATTTAAACATGACCAGCCCATTCAAAATTCCCAGATAACTTCTTATTCCTCTCACAGTGTATGTTTCTATCTCCACAACATTATGCTGAAGGTGGAAATATGAAAACTTTGTGATGAGGGAATAATTATTTTATATAGTAAGTGACAAGTAACGGCCAAGCTGCATAGCGCACACTTTTACAACACGTATGCATGGTGTGTTTTCATTTTAAGCCAGTGCCTTCCCAAATGGAAGATTTCCCATAATCCTTTACTGCCAGTGCTCTGGCAGCAGTCCTGTAGAAAATGCCTTAAAATTCCTGCTAACTCCACACACATCCATGTTAAAGAACTCATAAATGAAACAGTTAAAGAAAAGCATATGAACATCCAGTCCTAGTCTAAAAGATACCCATCTAAAAGCGCATGGGGGAAAAAAGAAAATCAAAAGCTTCTATAAGAATCACTTGGCAACTAGCAAAAGCAGAAAAAAAAAAATGAACCACACAGCAAGTCATGCCAAGCTTGAATAACCCTGTGCATTTCGGTACTATTCTTGTCTACCTCAGGGTAACTGTCAGGACAAGACATGGACATTAGCAGCATACCTGGGTTTGGACAAAAATTGCTCAAGTGTCTTGCAGCTCTGGTCTCATTTTGATGAATTCTATTCCCCGACACAGGTGAATGATTTAAAGGGCTTTATGAATCCCATGTCAGCACATTTTAATCTTCCGAACGTTTGCTTGCCGTAAGGAACTACCTTCTTTTTTATGGGCTTATTTCTTCAAGATTAAAAGTGGAAGTTTCTATTTACAAAACGTAGTCTGGCATCTAATGCCATTATACCTGGGACCTAACCCCACTTCTTGGCAGTTTATATCCTCCCAAACTATGTTCCAGTGGATCTGAGGTTAAGAACTTCTACCTAACATACTCACCAGTCTTCCTGGTTTAAGAGGTAGCAGCAACCACGCCCACCTTCTGGGCAGCTTCTTTCTTGGCTTGGTGAGCCTGCAACACAGCAACAGCCTCCTCCACCTAGGGAAGACAAATTGCCAGGTAAGATCCATCATCTTTAACAAAAATCACTCAATCCAAACTACCTTGAGAAGTGGGAGAATCTACCTTTGACCGGAGGGATTCTGGAGACTCCAGCATGTGCAGTAGCTCTGAATTGTCAATCTCTAGCAGCATTCCTGTGATCTTCCCCGCAAGGCTGGGGTGCATAGCTTGAATCAGGGGGAACAAGCGTTCTCCTAGGAAAGTAAAGTTCAAATGGTCTTTGCAGGGTGCTCTCACAGATCCTTTGCAACAGCTAACAAGGAAAGCAGATCAGCACCTATCGAAGTTTTAAAGTAGAGCAAACACTAGCTTTACATTTCCATGACATCTAATTTCTATGTCCCACCCCGATCCTTTTTTAACTACTAGTTTTAGGGAACACTAGATGTTTTCATGTCTAAGTCAGAATGCCCAACTACCATCATTTTTAAGCATCACTGTATCTACACCCAAACTACTGTGTGTAGGGGCTAGTAAAACACCCCTTATTTTCACAAAAAGGAGCCTCGTGCATCCCAGTTGCCCGAGACTTTGTGCTTTAAAAAGCTCTGAAGTCAAACATGATAATGAGAAATGTGTTCAGCTTCCTCATTGTGCAGAAGGCAGCAGGACTGACTTCCGAAGTATCACTTACCCAGCATCTGTTTCTGCTCCTGGGGAGGGGCAGCAGCCAGCATGGAAGCTGTTAAAGGTTCCTGTCCCTGCACGTGTACTGCAGGCTGAGGTGCCTAAAAGCAAGCCGAAAAAGCAGCATTAGGCTGGCTGCTTTGTATTTAAAGGTCAGTGAGACAATACATTATGCCTCTTCCAGGACACATCAGCCCCTAGCAGAACCTGTACAACTGGGAAGGCCTACATCGGGCCCCTGGGGAGGCACACCTGGGCCAAGGGTTAGCGAGGATTTAGTTAGGGAGCTTCTGGAGGGGCTGGACGTATTCAAGTCAGCCGGTCCGGATGATCTCCACCCTAGAGTTCTAAAGGAATTGGCCGAGGTCATTGCAGGACCCCTGGCACAGCTTTACGAGCACTCATGGTGCTCTGGAGTGGTGCCGGAGGACTGGAAGAGGGCCAATGTGGTTCCCATCTTCAAAAAAGGGAGGAAGGAGGACCTGGGAAACTACAGGCCAGTTAGTCTTACCTCGATCCTAGGCAAGCTGTTCAAGAAAATTATTCTGGCACACATCCAGGAGGGGACAGCAAGGGACTGCATGCTTAGGGGCAACCAACACAGGTTCATCAGTGGCAGGTCCTGTCAGACCAAC